GTCACTCAACGCGCCGTAAAACCATGCGTTCCCACTCCGCCCTTCCCCCTCACTTAACGTTGTCGAAGAGTACATGTGCGCTTGACATTGAAACAGCTTTCTTTAGACACTACTATATCTATCTGTCATACAGTCCTAAGGGTCCTTGTCCACGGGGGTCTTGACAGTGGTGGCATCCTCTTCGACGTCGCAGTGCTTGTGCTGGTGGAACAAAAACTCAATGTCTTCCAGCAAAATGTTCTTGGTCTCGGGGCAAAAGTAGTAGACAAACACGCCCGCACACGAGCAGAGCGCGGCAAAGAGGAAGAAGACGCCGTTAATGTTCAAGTACGGAAACAGCTTGGGGATGCCAATCATGAGCGCGCCCATGGTCCAGTTGGTCATGGTCGACAGCGACACGGCCATGGCCCGCACGCGCATGGGGAAAATTTCCGCGGGGTAGATCCAGCAAATGGGGCCCCAGCTGATGGCAAAGTTGAAGATGAAGAACCCCGTGGCGACGATCATGACCCATCCGGCCGACTTGTCGCACTGCAAGTCGCTCGTGTCGCCCTGGCAGCCCACCGTGAACGACGTGGCCGACACCAAGTGGCCGACGACCATGCCCGCGCCGCCCAACAAGAGCAAGCTGCGACGCCCGTACCGATCGACCCAGTACATGGCCGGGATCGTGCTGACAAAGTTGACGATCTGGAGGATCAGCAGCGACGTGAGTCCGTCGCCCAGCACGTCCTTGAAGATCTGGCCGCCGTACACAAACACGGGGTTGATGCCCGTGGCTTGCTGGAGCAGCTGCAGCGCCATGGCGATGAACACGCGACGGCGCACGGACGGGTGGAACACGTCGGCCCACGACGTGGCGTGGGTGCCTTCTTCCGCGAGCGCGTCGCCGATGGCCTTGAGCTCGTCGTCGACGTGGGTGGTCTTGCGGAGGCGGGTGAGCGTGGCTTCCGCCGCGTCGCGGCCCTTATGCTTGTACACCCATCGGGGACTCTCGGGGACGCAAAAGATGCCAGCCATGACGATCACGGGGAACGCCATAGCCACGGCGTTGGTGGTGCGCCATCCGTGCTCCGTATTCTCCACGGCGATGTTGACGATCCCCGCGAGCAAGATGCCCGTGACGATGGACATCTGCATGAACCCCGAGAGCATGCCGCGCAGTTCCTTTGGCGCCATTTCGGCCCCGAAGATGGGCAACGAGAACGACGAGTTGCCCACGCCCATGCCTTGGATCACGCGCGCGATCAGCGACAGGGTGTGCCCCCCTCTGCCCGTGAACACCAGCATACATGTGCCGATACAGAACAGCACCCCCGCGCTCATGATGGTCATGCGGCGACCAAACTTGTCCGCCACCACACCGCCCACGTACGCGCCTAAGATGCACCCGATGTAGTACAGCACGTTGAAAAGCGTCGTAAAGTTGAGCCAGTTGGCTGGTAGGTCCGCCGCCGTTGACGTGCACTGGAGGTACGTGTTGCCGTCGTAGTCGACGCAAAAGTCGTTCAAGAACGAATCCATCACCAGGACGCCCCCCGTCACGCCTTGGTCGTAGCCAAAGAAGATGCCACCCAGCGACGCAAACACGCACACGACCACGGCGTACGTCTTGGAGCCTTCCGTGGACGTGGACGTGGTGCCGTCACCCGCGGCCTCGATGAACACCCCTCCGCCTGCCATGGTGGACAAGTTGTCGGAATTTGAGTAGTGATGGATATCTTGGACCTGGTTGAAGCTGGAATCGGTTGGGTACAAGCTGTTGTGCAGAATTCACGGTCACCAGATGTCGTACTGTCTGAGACACTACCACACACACGCTGCTTCTTGCCTTTTCCCCTTCAAATTCGGAAAAATGTACAGCTCAAGTGTAACGAAGCTTTAACATCCATACTGAACTTACGTAGTACTACGTAGCACTTCGAAGTAGTTGACAGCGAGATGAATCCATGGAAGATTGGAAGTTTCCTCCGCGGAAAGACTTCATCAGACCACAATCGTACTGTACCCAGAACTGGCCGGCAAAGAATTTACGGGTAAACGTTCACCTGTCGTCGTGGCGCTTCAACTACAAAGATGTGCAACATCGCACTTAACATCTCTGTCAACCCGTAAAGAAGTGTGGCCTTGGTTGGAGGAAACCTCTATACATTAGGGAGTATTCACGGGCGTGGAATAACATGAAATCTTGTCCAGCCTAGCGGGTTCAACAAATTGCACTACGATTTGCCCAATATTTGAGCTTACTTGCAGCGTACACTGTGTACTTTCCAAAATCGTCGTACGAGCAGAATGCAAAGCAATCGTTCTGAGGGAGCAAACATGGAAGGGGTTCAAATTTCCGCAGCCTTAGTCACGAACACGGAATAATTCCCTCATTACAACAGTTCCACTGTTGTTTTGACCCGAAATACTGTTCAATGAGGGAATTATTACATCCGGATAACCTTTTCGCCAGTAGCCCTGTAACCTGGGACCCGTCCTACCCCCGGTGAGTGCATACGATGCTAAATCTCCGGGGTTAACTGCATCGCTAGTGGTTAGCTATCTCTAACAATTGAGATGCATTTTACCCCTAGTAAGAGGTGAGGTGGTCTGACATACAAAGTTCCATATAAACCTCATTTAAACAGTATTTCGGGTCAAAACAATAGTGGAACTGTTGTAATGAGGGAATTGTACCGAACACGTGGATCAGTGCCTCGTTTGTATTGTACTACTGTAGGACCACATTCCCGATGTGAATGGACACAATGTCGCCACATGTATGTATGCGCACCCAACGCCCCTGTTACTCTCGTCAACGAAAACTTTGACATACTACGTAGTACTATATTTACAGTACCAGGATAACCAGTACCAACAGGACAGCAACGTTAACGTTAACAGAAAAAAAACACTACCGGAACTGTAGTGTAAGTAGTTTCCATAAACCGCAGAGTCTGCTTCTGGCTACTTTGAATACTTAGCAAAACCAGTTAGGTACATATAATAGTACGCGCGGCTTCCAACGATGATATGCTGTCCATGCCTTTCAAATCAAAGACAGTACAGTACAGTACCAAGGCCAACTCAACTCGAACCTTGCCTCTTGGTACGCGAAATTCTAAACTCAAATATATTTGGCGATGTCCCAGAAGCCTTGCCAGCTCGCATTAACGCAATCTTTGACCACTCAAATCGCTTCAACAACTGTCAGCATTTCAAAACCACGTGGCTTCAACAATTTCCACACCACGACATTGAACTTCAAGGTTCAAGTCGCCTTAACGTCTGCTTGAGCGATCCCAGGCAAAGCGACAAAGTTCGTTCATTTTCCATATTCTTCTACTTGACCACCATGGCAGGCGGAGGGGTGTTCATCGAGGCCGCGGGTGACGGCACCACGTCCACGTCCACGGAAGGCTCCAAGACGTACGCCGTGGTCGTGTGCGTGTTTGCGTCGCTGGGCGGCATCTTCTTTGGCTACGACCAAGGCGTGACGGGGGGCGTCCTGGTGATGGATTCGTTCTTGAACGACTTTTGCGTCGACTACGACGGCAACACGTACCTCCAGTGCACGTCAACGGCGGCGGACCTACCAGCCAACTGGCTCAACTTTACGACGCTTTTCAACGTGCTGTACTACATCGGGTGCATCTTAGGCGCGTACGTGGGCGGTGTGGTGGCGGACAAGTTTGGTCGCCGCATGACCATCATGAGCGCGGGGGTGCTGTTCTGTATCGGCACATGTATGCTGGTGTTCACGGGCAGAGGGGGGCACACCCTGTCGCTGATCGCGCGCGTGATCCAAGGCATGGGCGTGGGCAACTCGTCGTTCTCGTTGCCCATCTTCGGGGCCGAAATGGCGCCAAAGGAACTGCGCGGCATGCTCTCGGGGTTCATGCAGATGTCCATCGTCACGGGCATCTTGCTCGCGGGGATCGTCAACATCGCCGTGGAGAATACGGAGCACGGATGGCGCACCACCAACGCCGTGGCTATGGCGTTCCCCGTGATCGTCATGGCTGGCATCTTTTGCGTCCCCGAGAGTCCCCGATGGGTGTACAAGCATAAGGGCCGCGACGCGGCGGAAGCCACGCTCACCCGCCTCCGCAAGACCACCCACG